GGTCGATCGATGAATCAATCCGCGATCCCTCCCTTGTCGGGTCGTCCTCATTGATCTTGATCTCCACCCGAATCGTAAATACATCGTCAGAATTATTAGGGTCTTTCTCAAGGGCAAGGGCACTGAATACTCGCAGGGAGGTACTTCCGAAAGAGCGCGCGTCACGGCTCTACCGAGAACTGAGTGCAGATCACGGCGCAGGTTTTCTTGATAAGTGGCTGTCGTTGCGACGCACGGAACGGCATTGAGCTGTATGGAGCATTGAAGTCAAACAAAAGAAACACCTGAATAGAAGTCCAAATGAAATGGAACGGCACGAGATTCAAAGGGAACAATCCAAGACTGAAATATTCAGCTCCCCGGTTATCACAAGCGAAACAATGGCTGAGATATGAATGAACGAGGAAAAAGCTCCTCGAGAACATACTTCTAATCCCTCAGAAGATTCCACGAAGGAATGAAAGTTCCTCAGCTTTCAGGTACGAACGTGCCCGAGCGGATAATTATTTTCTCGCAGTTGTTTTCGTCTGGATGTGAGAGGTTTCTTTCAACTTCGCCCTCAACGACGCCCCGTGAAGGGATATAGCTGTTCTCGAACCGATTGTTTACAGTCCAGTCTGGGGAATTGAAAAGTTTCTAACGAGCTCCGACATTGATTCTTCAAACACCCACGCTTCTGAAGTTCCGCCTGACTGCTCGCTGTATGACGGCGACCGGCTCGCGACTCGCGATCCCAGTTGCGCGGAAACCTGCGTAACATTCCTTTCTGTCTGCTTATGTATTCCACGGCTCGATCGGTTTCTGGGCGCTGGTGAGGCTCGAACTTCATTTGCTCCCACTGGATTCTTCCGCGTCGCCGTGTACCGTCTAATTAAGCACTCGCGCTCGGCAGGTTTATCGTGATCGATTGATCGGAAGCCCCGCGGAGCGTTGATCTGACGCTCGACTGAGGTTAAGGACGTGGTGAGAACCAGACCCGATGTCCGAGCATTAAAGGATTTTGAGAGCATCAGGAAGAAACCCGCAGATCCTGGAATTATCGCAGCCGTCTCGCCTTCTTCGAAATTTATCCTCCCGGACGATGGGGAGAGAGGAAGGAAGAGAGAATGAGGTAAATATGCAAGTACATCAATGCCCCCCCCTTCGTAGAGTGAGCGGCGATTTCATGGCTACGCCCCGCAACCATGAGGGTCGCCGGCAGTGACTTGAGCGAGTTCCGATTGAGACCGCCCATATTCGTGCACCGAGCATCCGATCCTCCCGAAATTTTTTCGGGTCATTTCTTGACGCAGAGGCGACGAGCCGGTTCTCCAGAACACCAAACAAAATGATGAGCGAGTCCGAAGAGCGTTTTCTCTGGCCTAACGGTAATTGACAAGCAATGGGTACGACAGGATTTTTCGGGAATTTCTTTATTCCGGAACAATCGTCTTTTCCTCTCCTCCTCCTCTGTTATGATTATTTACACAAAAGGTCCTTGCGACAATATTTCTGTATCTGGTTTTTACATATTTATAAAAAATGTGGCGCACCAAACCTCTCTGGCTGCCACTTACACACAATTACAGTCAGACGCAAGTCGCAATTTCCCTCTATTCGACAATTCCTCTGGGGTCTCATCCACTCTGCTACATCACGAATCGGAACGAGCAGATTGTGTATCTACAAATATTCGAATTATTTTCGACTTCTGCGGAATGAATCGGTTTCGAGGTATTCTCTGGAGACGCAGGATTCCTCGATGTTTCGGGTGCGGAGCTCTCTTGCCCCTCCATCATCATACATCGAAATTATGCGAATGTGAAAATCGGAACTCTGGATTCGTTCCGCTCGCAAGATGCGGGATGGAACAAAAGCTCGACATATTTCCGAGTCCTGATGTCGAAGATCCTGGTCATGAATTTTTCAGTTGCCTGGATTCCATGGACGTTCTCAATGCAGATCTATCCGAGAGGGGCCGGGAATTCTTAGAGTTTCAGATCCAAGGGAGCTTAGGGGCAAAAGGTATTTGTTGAAAGTTCAATGCAAAAATGAAGCTGCTGCAGATCACAATTGAGCAACGGATCCTCCTCTGTACTTCGTCAGCGCCAACAAGCCTACAGTGGAGGTAATCATGCGAACCCGTCGGCAGCGGTGTCCGAGGATTCCGCGCCCGCGACGAATATGCCGGACTTGAGAAACCAGCTCCAGCCTTCGACGTTGAACCATTTCTCGATCGACGCGGTTTCCCCGGATGGCTTCCGATGTCGCATTCCCGACTCGGGCCGATTCTCGCCGATGCTTGTCGTTAGAACGACTCAGGGATTATTTCCTTTAGCTTTTTCTCCTAAACCTGTCGCTCGCTGTCAGCACTCAATCAACGATAACTGTGGAAGGCTTAACAAATGTTTCACTTTACAGCCGGAATTTTACACAGTATGTACATAACGCGTTTCGTCCCGTCCGCCGCTCGCCCTTTCTCCGTGTCGATATCTTCACACGAATCGATAAAAGCCGTAATGCAGAAGTTGAGGAAAGTAGACCTCTGAGGGAAGGGGTGCCGACCACTCGGAACGCATCGGGGAGGCGCGACCGAGTTCCTCGAGAGGGGTGGAAGGGGGAACGGAATCCCCTCGATGTTGGAGGAAGTGCGAGCAAGGGAGCCGGTAGACCAGCGCGGTGACCTACACACGGGTCGTAGACTTCGACGGAACCGGTCGGAATCGGAGGTCCATCGGAGCACACCACGGTATTTTCTTAACGAACTAGAAGTTGCTATGGTCCAACCATCGCTTTTGGACTAACGAGCAAACCGTGGGACGTTGTTGGAACCGTAGGCGTGTTCCCTTGTGTCTCTGCGGTTTCGAAAGTTCTGCTGCGCGGCTTGAGCGGGTCGAACCCGAGGCTTGGAGGGTTATTCTCGGATCGCTCGGATCGAGTCTAACGGTCACTTAGACAATCGCTTGTCGCCGACACGAGACTGACAAGAAGAGGTCGCCCGTAGCTGCAGCAGCGTCGTCGTCATCGGCGAACTCTCAGCAACGCTCGGACCGTATATCAGCGGTGTAGGGACGAAAACTCTGTAAAGTTAGAGAGGCATCAAGTTAAAATTGGATGGGGAAAGATCCGCGTACCCCTCTGTTTCCACCCATCGTGGGGATAGGGGTCGGACCGGTCTGCGCCTCCACGTCGGATATCGGGACGTAATTTTTCTTTCCGCGGTCCACGCCACTGGGATAAAACTCTTCCGCATCGGATCCATATAATTCATGCTCGCGTCTAAGGGCATGCTCCCATATAAGGAGCATGACGGGGACGAGTGCGTTAAAATGATGTTTGTGGATCCCCAGGGTTCCTTCCATGCAGACAGTGGAAGCTTTCCCGAGTCGATGGAATCGAGTATTCCGACCTCTTCCAAGATTGGATCGGTGCCAAAGCTGATTATGGGTGAAAGTCAATATGTCATCCAACAAAGGTACAGCGGACCCTGTGTGGTCTTTTGAGCTCGCTGAGAACTCGATTGGAGAGTTCCGAGGGAGCTCTCTCTCAGAAAGGGATCAGAGTATGGGTAAGCCTCGCCGCGTATATTCGCGCTCCCACTCCGCCGGAGAACCGCGGAGAGTTCTTAACGGCGCGCAGCGACCGAATATATGTTTCTCTCCACCGCCCATCTCTCTCTTCCTTTGAAAGCAAACTCGTGTGTTCATCTTTCGTTCGTGCTAGTGTGTCTTTCGGTAAGTGAGTAAACATAAATATATGTGCGGGTTGGCGGCGGGTGTGCTGTCGAGGGAGTGAGTGATTCAGTGGGTTCCCTCCGCCAGCGTAAGTGTAAGGGAATCGGCAGTGAGCAAACAGTACGGAGACGGAGTGGACGACGACGGTCTGGTGTCTCACGGCATCACAATGTTTTGCTTTCTTTCCCAAACAATTCTTCATCCTGGCGACCGAAGTCGGTTGACTTGGCTCGCCTCGAGCCAATCTCACGGTCGAGCCACTCAGCTCGGAGCGAGTCCACAATCAAACGAGCCCTCGACGATTCCTGTTCCTACTTCTTTCTTCTTTCTATTCCAGCCTCGGAACATCGAGCGGACAAACCTTTCAGGCGAACCCATAATTTAGGTACCCAGTCGACATCGAGGTTCGGTGATCGGGTTTAATCGAAGTCCGAATCCCTCAATCTCACCGACAAAATCAAATCGACTCGTATCGCTTTCAGCTCTGACAGACGAATCGTATCGTTTTGAGCGGCTTCGAATCAATTCCGACCGAGGTCCCGCTTTCTGGTACCCCCTTCCCCGCCCGGCGTAAGCGACCTCCATCTCCGAGAAGCCCGGAGTAATCAAGACATAGAAAGGAACATTTACTTCGAAAGTCATCGGGAACTGACCTTGAGCGCGGCGTCGTACGTTGCGACATATTGGGGCTCGGTGGAAGATCTTGGCGATAGTGAAATCTCCGGGTTGGTCCACGGGCTCGCCTGCGAAGATGCAACATTGAGTGAGGCGCGCGCAGAGTCATATAATTTTCTCGTGGCCGCGAATCTATGACCTCGCAGGGTCGACCACGCGAAAACTCGCTCCCTCGCTTCCTGCTGCCAGACGACAGGGCGGCTCGCTGATGGCTCTTCGGCAGTCGGTCGCTTCCTCCACCAGTCAATTCAGCCGCTCTCGCCCTCTCCCTAATAATAGGTCGTCCACGACGGGATATGGCGCAGCTCGTATGAGGAACGACTAAACACACATTGTTGTTTAGGGACGAGCTGGTTTACCATGTCCACGCCGTCGTCGACGTATCTACCCCAACCTACGACCAGCTAGACCGCCGGTTTGGTGGCTAGCCGACCGGCCAACCGACCGAGCGACCAACCGACTATCCATCCACGAGCGGAACAAAGAACCAAAGGACGGACCGAGGGGACCGATCACGCTATCATCATCTGCCATAAATGACGGACCGCTCGTCGCACGGGAGAACGACTCCAGAAGAACTCCAATCGGAAACACACTGCGAGTTCGGTCTTTTTAGGAGTTCCCGGCCGGTTCGGTGTCGGTTCCTATCAGGACGAGATTATCCATCCGCGCTCGGGGGAACGTGCGAGCAGTTACCTGATTCTGCAGACTCAACTGCAGGTCGTGTCTCGGCAGTGTGGCCATATGCTGGAATACGTGCGAGGAAGACGGTCCTCCTAACATGGTTTCGTTCGTCATGGCGACGACCGGCGTATCCCAAGCACCTCTTTTGAGCGTTCCTCCTCGAGGAACGTACCCCGTATCAAAGCGAGGATCCACGCGCGCCGGCAATGCCTCCGCTGGAAAACAAATTCCGTTCTCGTAATCTCATTGACCACTTTCGTCTCTGGGATTGCTTAGCTGCGTTTTTCTCTGCGGAACGACAAGGAGTTTCAGCCGGGACTATCTCAACCGTCGATGACTAGGTGGATGAGTGGATACGGGGAACCAGGAGCCAAAATAGTGGACCAAGTCGCGTTCGTCAGCTGCTGTGGCGTTTCCACTGCCGATCAGTGGAGGTGTGGCCGAGCGATTCGAAGTTCACGCGAGCATGATTTAATTACGAACGAAGTTTCTTTGGCGTTGGCCTTGCTGTTGCTGCCCCAGCCATCGACCGCTTCGCACGGCGAACCGACAGCGTCGAATGCCCCGCAGCTCCGCTGAACAACGGAGAAACTCACGAGTCTGCAGCCGATGCCGAAGACGACGAGAAGCTGAAATCCACGTGCCGACTTTCCGTTTCCGGTATGGATTCGCCAACCCGCTCCTGAGCATTCGGAATTTCGAAAAATCTCCTTCCTCATCCCGACCGGTCGACGCAGGCGTAGTCGCAAATGTCGGCAGATAGAATGGCTCGCGGGACTCCGGGCGAATTTTCCGATGAGGTCCCCGTCCGCATCGGCGCGCTTTGTCTCGAAAGACGCGCACGCGGCAGCGGAATTCGATAATTTTTCCAATGATCGCTAAAATCGCTCGAATTTAGTGAATACTCACGCGGAATAACATCGGGCCCTTTGTCCTCGTCGTCGTCGTCGTCGTCGAAGCGAGCGAGCTCCGTGACGTCGCTCTCGTCGTGCATCGGTGGCATCTGCGGTCTGTAACACCGAAACGTTTTCTGTTAATCGACATCAGGGACTACGCATTCCATTCCTCTTTCAGTAACACACGCCAGCGACGGCGGCGGCAGCGTCGATTCTCCCGCACCAGACACGGCGAGCCGTGCGTGGAAACCGTCAGACCCGCATGACAGAAGACATGCGCCCAGGACCGGGAGTCCTAAACAGGAGACCAACAAGCCGCTTAGACTCCGCATCTGTTACCCGGCTTGCCGCCGGACCCACTTTGGGGAGGCGAGCGTAAGCATGAACTGATTCGTCGACTGATTGATTGACGGAGAAACTGACATATTTTCCTTGTGGTTGTCCTGTAGCTTGTTCCGAGGCGAACAAAAGTCCAACATCCAGAGAAAACAAGACGCGCCGCCACACAGCTGTTCGCTGTAGTCGTGTCGATGGGAGTCGAGACGATGTTCATCGGGAAGGGTTCATATTTTTCAATTTTTCGAAGAGCTATTCTCGAGACTTACTTCTCATCGGCGACCAGGGCGCGTTGTTGAGCTGAAGAGGAAATTTTTTGAGCTTAATTAGCAACTGTCGTTCGGAATCACTTCCGGGCAATTAGATCTGATTCTCTCCACGTTTGCGTCCTCCACGGTCTGAATGGAGGTAAATTCCTCCCGCTTGCTCGCTCTCGAGGAATCCACGTTGAACTCAAATCGAGTCACTGTGCTCTCATTCTTTCTCTCTTCTTTCTTTCTCTCGCGAACGATTCTCAATGAGCCCTCAAGAAGACCACAAGAATTCTGAAGTTCCCTTCGGATTTCGAGAGGGATGCCAAACTCGATTAAAAGACTGCTCGCCGCAGGACGAACGAACGAACGAATGAATGGATGAGCGAACGAGCAGACGAGCGAAACAACGTTCATCAGGAGTCGCAAAGGGAAGAGCACTTCATTTGCTTAATCATGATGATCGAAGCAGTCTTATTACCGGGACCGCATTCGGGACATTGTCTTCTTGCCTGCCTGCCCGCCGGCCTGCCTCTTAGTCCTCGACGGACGCGCCCCGCGCCGTACTCTCTCCCTCTCTTCTTATACCTCTCCCTCTTTTTCAAGCTTCGCCCTCGTCCTCGGCTTCTTCGTTCCGAAGCAGTCCTTTTCCGCCTGGAGATCTCTCCTCCCTCGCTTCCATCGCGGCCCGACTCCTCGTGTATTTCCTTTATTTCTATCTCAAGTTCTCCTGTCTCGAATTACCGACAATGGGACTAGGCGTCCTGCTACTCGATAGGATCGATAGCGGAAGGGAGTTTGGAGAGTTTTCCACGAATCGCCAGAAGCACATCGGTGAAGCTGGAAGCCGACGCAGCTTGGTCGCAGGATCGTTCGGCTTGTTCGTTCGTACACTTAATCAGAATCCTTATTTAATATTCCGCCCACCGAGGAGACACAGTCGACGTTCGAAGTCATCGTATAATGTGTCTGCCTCCATCCACTCGGAATATACAGCACAGTCTGCCATGCCAGACTCGGCTCCTCCTGTTCCTCCCGGACTTTAACTCATCCGCGTCTGGAACGTTGTCGGAGAGGGGGACTCCAGCCGATCGGTGAGCGCTCTGCCTACTCCCTCTCACGGCATCCGTCAATCGTCATGACCCGAGTCCATCTGACGTTCCCCTCGAAGGACGCACGAAGCCCGGATCAGAGTCCGAAATCAGCGCTACACTTCACCGATGAATTCTCCAGGGTCGCATCGGGATGGGTCCCTGAAGGAATCTCGATATTAGGGAAGCGAGCTCACCCACTCACTGGGTCGGTTCAAATAAGCCTTTCACATTCCGTCCGACCAGATGCTTTTCCCATTTCTCGGCAGGGCTCCAGCTGATGGAGTCGCGACTTTATGGCCGGATGAAGGAAGCGGGTGTCCATAAACCGGTCACAAAGATTGTTATCCCTTCCCCGGGGCAGGGCAGCGCGCATCCGCCCACGGAGCGACTGGAGCACCTTGTCTCCTTCCGAGCATCGGACCCCTATGAGAGGATATTGCGAGATATGTAGGTGCGCATGTCCATGACATGAATGCTCATTCCCTCTCGCGTGTGCTAATAGACGTCTGGTCTATCTTATTGCATACGAGCTGCATTTTATCCAGATGTTACGAGCTGTACCCGGACTGACAAGGAGGTCGAATGGAATCACGGAGGAGCTGCCTGGATCCAGCCAAGCCCCGTGTCGATCGTCTCGACCCTTCGACGTCATCCCTTCGATAAAACGAGATTATGTTCATAGTTTCCTGATGATCTCTTCATATCTACCGGAGTGCTCTCTCTAATCCTGTTCGAGGGTCGGAGTTCGCTCTGACCGTTCCCATCGCGTGATGGGATGAGATTATCGAAAGGTTTCTGAATTGAGCCCTTCCAGGACCCTGTCGTTACAGTCGAGCTATAAAGATCGCTCTATACGACCGTTGTGAAAAAGTCAACATCATCATCATCACTATGATCATATTCGCCGTTGGCGAAGTCGTTAGGGGTTCGAACTTCCGATAGACCCCCATCGGAGCGGAGTCTATTGGACAACTGCAGGAAGGAAGGCCACGGACGGAGCGGAGCGAAAAAAAACCAGAAACTGTCTGAGCACCCCGGCAGCCTTCCTTCGAGAAAGAGAGAGGGAGAGAGAGAGAGGGAGAGAGAGCAAGTCACAGCTAAGAAAGGGTGACGGATACCGGAACGAGGACGCACACCGGAGTCAGGGGTCAGGGGAAGATGTGCGAGTCGAGCATGAAACTCTAACTACTCACAGTTTTTGATGACCTGGCGAGTTCTAATCTTCATGATGAGAATTATCGTGAAAGCAACCAGGATGATTCCGGTGACGACGAAGATCAACAACAGTATTAGCGGGCTGAGAGAGATGTGCCACATTCCTGTGGAAGAAACTCCCGCAGTTGTAAGGAGATTCTCGAGCGCATGCGACCGCTCCTATGTGGACGATGATCAGTCAGTCTGACAGACAGTCAGTCAGTCGGTCGGTCGGTCGCTCGGTCAGTCGGTCAGACTGACGCCTGAGCGAGCGGTGAAATGGCATACCTCTCCGAGTAAGCGAGATGGGCGACGGTATGGTGTGAGCCACGATGACAGTGGGTTGACTCTGACCGCGCGCGTTCGAAGAATATATGGCGACCACGTACGCTGTGGCAGGCATCAGGTTGACGGCCTGCATCACCGCATGCGTCGAGGACGTGTAATTGCCTCTCAGGGTCCGCTGTTCGGCTTCATGCAGCTCCATATGGAACGTCTGCTCGATGCCTCCATCATAGCCTTCGATGCAGGCCACGGTCAACGATTCCTCCGTCTGGTTGATTACGGTGCAGTTCTGCACTGGTTCCGGAGGGCCTGGCGAAAGAACGCAAGTTCAGTTACGTCCGCTTCGCTTTGCTCCAACCCGAGCCGAGGTCATGGGACGATGTTCCGCATGAGTTGCTTTCGGATGTTGGTTGGAAACCTCACGAGTCTCCATTCAATGTCGAGCTCGTTAGTTTTTTTTCGGATACGGCCGCGTTCGGAGCCCACGCGTCCTTTTTTTCAGTCGATAATTCGAATGGTTCCGTGCGTCTCGCATGCTCTACTCGGAGCCGATGCGAATCGATAGAAAACATTGAAAACGAGACTTCAGAGCTCCAGAGAGTAATGAGTGGAGGAGAAAAAAACGTGGACCATTGGACGCCCTGTTAGCTCGACTGCATGTTGATCATTACAGCGACGCTCTTTCAATCCCCGAACGTGACAATGAGCCCCAGTTCCTTGTCGTATGTATGATAATTGTGCGTTGGTGGACAACACAGAACCGACTTGCTCGGTGTTTGTCGGTATCGATCCGAAACCCGGAAGGAGAAAGAGGTTCCCCTTGTAGTAGTTTCCCGAAGGTCCCCGGAGGCACCAGTTTCCGAACAAAAGTGTTTCACGCAGAGCTCTCCGACGGTGATCATTCCGGGCTGGCTGCGAATGCAAGTGAAACAGGCCTCGTCCTCTATTAAGGATAACCATTACCTCCCATCGTCCTGTGTTGTTCCCGTTCCCCCTCCCCCGACCTTTTTTCGTTCAGCACTTTTCCTCCCCCCCCCACTCCTCTTCCCTCCCCTTTTCCATCTTTCGGACTCCCCACCGCACGGAGGGGGCCCGCACGTAATTAATGGCATCACGGTCGCCAGCGGACGCGATACGAAGCCCCGATGCGGGAAACACCGAATGCGACGAAAGGAACGAATAAAAAGATACGACTGAACAGATCAACAAATCTTTCGCATCCGACGATGTTGACAGAACTTGGGGAGACAATGTCGGGTCACGCAGGAAAAAATGGAAGAAGACACAAAAGAGACCGAGACGGAGAAGAGCAGTGGTGAGAGCAATGAAGGGAGAAGGAAAACGGACTTGACAGAAGGAAGAGGGAAAGATCAGATATGGACGAAAATAGATGATAGAGACGACGAGTTCCAGCATGATGAGAGGGATAAGACGAAGCCCGACGAGTGGGATGAAGGACGACAGTACGATGAGCAGGGACTTAATAGCGGCGGCGGCGACGACGACGAGTGGAATACAGGAGCAAGAGACGACAAGAAGGAGCCCAGCGGAGAGGGAACAGGCTCGAGCAAAATAGAAAATCGCTGGAAGAGGCAGAGGGAAACGACGAAAACGTACGGCGAAACTTAGGAGCGACGGAGCGAACGGAGGGAACACGAGAGCGGAAGGAGAACAGGAGACACCGAAAAGAATTCGTCCATCCTTGCTTCCATTAAGAACAAGCTGCGTCCCATAAGAGGTCCCGGCCTGGTTGGGCTTTGCGTTCCGCTCCCTCTATCAACAACGGCTCACGTTCGGCTGTCTCATATACATTTTCATCACGATGGGACGGTTAAGGCCTCCCGACGCGACTCTCGGACACGATGCGGAACTCTCGGCGTTCCGCGCGGACCGTAACGGTCTCTAACGAGTTTGTCGAGGGAGTTCTGTGACATGACGTTGTGTCGACCGTTTTGTCTCCCGAGAATTCATCACGTTCGATCAATATGATCCGACGTCGACATGAGCTCAGCACGATGCGCCGGTATGTTGGAGACGAATAGTGGCGATACGGAAATCTTCGTACCGTCGATGGGTGCAGATTCCATGTCCCGAAAGTTTCCATTAAGGACAGGGTGTCAGGGTATGTACAATTTGATTGATGCGCGCGCCCGAGAGGAGGGGCGACTTGAAGGAAGACGCCCTGGTGGATAGTCATGCAGCACGCTGGCATAGCGTGATCGTCGCTTAAGAAGCAGAAGCCCGTGGGGCGTGAGCCCCGAGATAGCGAAACACCGCTCTATGAAGCTCGTGGGATATGATTTTTTCATTCATTTTTCTACTTTCCCTGAAACTGGAGCTGAACTGCGATCACCGGATGTCTCTTCATCGACCCCATCGGAGATCAGCCTCGACAGAAAATTGTCTGTGTTGCCAGGTGACCGCGGTCCAGACCATCAGGATCGTCCAGAATCTCTGTCTCCTGAGTCCTGACAAGAAATCGCGAATCTTTCCGGGGTCTCTCCTCAGGCCGGGGAGGACTTCCGACCCCCTTGTCTGACGCTCTCCCAAGGACTCCCTGACGTACGATCTGAATACTCGCAAACTGCGAATTTCGCCTGAGTGCTTCCCAGTCAACTTACCTGCAGGAATGAGCTGAAAAATGCAGGGCTCTCGCTGCAAGCCAATTGAGTTTTTCCCCCAGCAGATGATTGGGCCGTAGTCTTCCTCCGCGTGCGGCACTACCGCGAGCCAGGACTTCGTTCCTTCACTATGGACGTTCGCGCCCGAAATAACTTCCTTGCTGTTATTGAATCTCCACTTGAAAGAGATTTCCGCGGGGTCGCTGTCGAGCTCGCAGGAAATCTTCACCACTTCGTTCCGGGCAGCACCGTACGTCATCTTTTGATCTGGTTTGCAGACCGGAGCATCTGGAATTTTGAATGAAATCCTGACTTAATTATCGCGGAAGTCATTCCCGAAGGTGAGCTTCGAGCGTTTGTTCCCTCGTATTATTCCCGTCCGGCGAAAATCCTCCAAAATATTCAGCAAGCCTGGCTCGACGAATTGTCCTCCCACCCCGACTTGGAACACACTCGAGCAGCTGTCCTGTAGGACAGACGTGCAAAAATTATAGAGAGAATACGAGAGCAATCGACAACGGAGAGCCAGGGCCGACGCGGAGGCCGAGCACGATGAGTACGACTGTTGCGGATCAAATCTCTGGTCTGTTCACTCTGTTTCACTCGGAGCTCGCCGCTATGTCCGCATGGTGACATCCCGCATGAACTTTTCCACTCCGGCTCGACGAAGCCTCTGATTAGAGCGTGCTGAAAGTTTCAATTTGGGACAGACGCGGCACCAGCTCAGTGTCTGCTCTCTAGCGATGAAAAATTGGAAAAGTCGCTTTTGAATTACCGCTCAGAGACTCGGGGTACGTCTGAATCCGAGAAGTGCCTCTGCTCGATAAAGATTTCCGCCAGATTTTTTCGCTGTTCACAAGATCGTCGCTGTCGACGGGGACCTTGTTTTCGAAAAGCTCGAGATGGTTCTTCCAAGTAGACGGGAGATACTTGAGGTGTCTCTCTCTTCCAACTGCTATGGGCTCCTTCCGCTCCGGAATACCCTCACTTTTGGGCATTCTCTAAGTCTATCTCCCTCGCTCTTCTGCGTTCTGAGTTGTTCTTCCCAGGGGTCTTTTCGGACGGAGACGATGAGGAATAAGTAAAACTAAGAGAGACGCACGACACATCGGAGGGGAGAGGAAAAGCTCTAACAGCGCCGGGATGAGACTGAAGAGGCGCTCAGTCTGGGAAAAAGCGCTCACATGACCATCGCAAAACGAAGACGAATTTCGAGTTTTCTCCAGCGTTTGCTTTTTCTCTCTCTGAGGCTTGAGGGAATCGAGCGAATCGTTTTACGATTCCGACTCCAGTTCCCTCGGGAGCCTACTCCGCCTTGCCCATAGCGCTTGCACTCCCTGAGCCAGGCTACAGGAGCACACAATTCCAGAGCAAACAATTCCTGAAGGGAATCTTCGATGAAGGCAGAAGTGCGAAGACGGATCAGAAATCCAGCTCCACGACTTGGGAAGCATCGACAGTGCCCTTCGGAGATCGCCCCGATCAGAGGGGCGATCGCCTCATCATGATAGCTCGAATGGTTTCGTCTGCTTAGTGGTTACGATTCGTTCTCTTCTTTTTTGAAAAGTCCCGCCTAGCCACGTATCCGGCTACCGCCCGTTGTCCTAGGGCCCCAACGTGAGCGGGCGCGACCGCATACTGGACCGCACCGTCAAGTCCCGAAATTCATCCAGCTGCCTCGACATAAAAATGAAATGGCCGCGACCTGGCGCCCCGTTCGACGAGACTGAAATAGAATCCTGGACTCAACTCCAGCATGACCCATGCCACAGATCACTTCATGGGTCAAAAAGTCTCGCACTCCGGATATATGAGGTGGTTAGAGTAGTGCGAGCGAGGTAGGAAGGAACATATTCTGGAAAAGCGGCCCGGTAACTCGGATGAAGAAAAATGAACAGGAAACGATAAGCGAAAAACTCACTGAGGACAACGGGGGCTGGCCCACGTGAAAAGAGATAATGGAAGCGCCAGGAAGAGGAGGAGCACAGTGAGCAGGGACAGGGAAGGGCTGGGAGTAGCAACATTATAACGAGAACTGAATTATAGAAGAAAGAGAGGGAAAGTGACGCCCAGACGCGAAATACGGAGAAGAGCGGCCAGGGTAGAGGCTATGAGCATCACGGGGTAGAGCAGACGTCAAGCCCTGGGAGGATCGAGAGTCCAGCCGAAGGTTCACGTGAGTGTCCGTGCATCTACTCTGTCCACTAAGTGAAACCAGCGCGGGAGTTTAGGCCGCGGGTTCTAGGTGGGATTCGGGAGCGCCAAGCGGGAGCGCTCACTCAGACGCAAGGGAACGTGAGACCTGCATGGTATATTTTTCATCATAAGTGACTCCCGGGTTGGCTGGATGAGTGGCTGGACGGCGACCAGCTCGCCATTGTCCCGCAGCTATGAAAGCATTCTCAAGAGAAATCAGCCGAAGAGCCTTAAAACGGCCCCAGTTGGCGCCTGCAAGCGTGCACGCCCTTCTGCCAGCTTGCGTCAAGTTCTGCGGCCCAACTGAGGACGGACGCAATATTGTGACCGGACGAGAAAATGGATGATCAGCGGTGAGAGGAAGCTCCTTGCGCAGAGTTTTCCAATTCTCTCGTTTGATACTCCGATGAATTTTTGTGTTGTCTGACGCTCGCTCCCTGTCCCCTTATCGACGAGAGATAAGTTGATTGATTTCCTCGAATCTGGTGATGCTCTCAGTCAGTGGTTCCGCCGTCGCGTCGTTCTTCCGTTGGACTGCATCGTTCGTATTGCTTTTCATTCCCTCTGTATGACGGTGGGTCTGGCCCGCTAACGCTTTTCGGCGAGCGGTACCGAGTGCGGGGGAGAGACGATGTGGCGGGAATGAGACGCAAATAGTCTAAGCAAACATTCGGAGCATGACGGTACAATAGAGTTCCTCGTAGCGTCTGTACTGCGGCTTTGTTACGCTAGACAATGCGACGACGTTTACCCATAATACTACTTAATGTGGCGGGCGACGTTTCCCGGTAACTCTAACGCGGCGTCGTACCCAGTGAGGCTAACGGCGACAATCATCCAGGCGGAAGCGGAATTTTATCTGAAGAAACGACTGCTGTCGCAACGCTCATGACAGGATCGAGCGAGCGGGCAACTGCGCTGCTTATGCTCCCGATGATGTGTACTTACATCTGACTTTGAGCGTCACAGCGTTACTCTCGCCGGGGCCTTGGCCATTGGTTGCGTGACACGTGTACCGGCCTCTGCTGTGGCGATCCACTTTCTGCAGGACGAGGCTTTGTCCGCTGATGATAACGCCAGCTGACAAGTTCGTTTGCACTTCTCGTCCTGAAATTAAACGTGGAAAACTAAATTGAGGCTCTTCGCAAGAAATCGGCTTTAATGATTGAAGCTACCTCGAAAAAGCTGAAGCGGTCTCCCGAGGCTTTCTGCCGACCTTCTCAAGATTCCACTTCGAAACATCAGTCTCCCCCTTTCCGAGAAGATTGTGCTATGAAATTATGGAATCTGACTCTCGAAATCCGATATCAGCGAACGCGCCTTGAGACTGATACTCTGGTGAAGCTGATGGAGCGATTCCTCGAGACGGAGCACTCGCCTCGCCTAAGGACATTCTTCCCTACAGCCTCGTCAGTTCTCGGCTTCCCCTCGCGAGGTATTCTACCCGAGGAATTCGTTGCGTCGAACGCGTCGGCTGATTCCGTCACGAGATGTCCGAGGGACATCCAAAGACTGATAAGCACTGCTTCTTATGCCTCGCTGGAGGCCTCCCGATAGCGATAGCTGCTCCGAGTGACTTCTGAGCCTAGATCCGATTCCGGGGATAAGTGAGTAGCTTCCCGACGCAGCCGGTTGCTTCTGAATGTTTGGAGTCTTTTGTGAGATTCCCGCTGCAAGCTCGCGAGCGAAACCGGAGCTCTTCCGCGGCTCATCGCCTCCAGGGCGGGGTCTAGCTCTTTCCCGCTGATTTACCGGCTCGTGTCAAGAACTCATTGAACCTTCACCGTGCACTTCCCGAATGGTATTCTGAAGTTTCCTGATGAAGTTTATAAGAATGGGCTGCGGGCTCAAACAGCGAGAGGTCGGCCATTAGGGCGAGTATTACAAGATATTGTGGAGGGGACTTGAGGGGCTTCACGAGCTACCCATCTGGCGTAGTGTTTCCTCCCTTGCAGGAGAAAATTACTTCCTGGAGCCAAGGTCAGCGGAAGCCCTCGAGCTGTTTCTTGCAGCAGCGGTACAAGCGGCGGCATCAGCAGCCAAGAATGGCCCTCAGAGACTCAGTTTCGGGTCCACCTCATCCGAGACAGTCGTTCCTCGATCTGTCCCACCTGCCCCCCTCAATCGAGGAGGACCAGCACGAAAAGAGGACTTCGTTTAAGTTATCCTCTCCTCTTCTCCGATCGTCCTCCGCATCGTCCCACTGCGACTTTGCTCGAGACTGCACATCGGGGCCTCAACTGAGAGAGATACTCCGCAGGCTTTCTTGTTCTAGGGCGCCGCGCGATGCTGAGAGCAGCTATTCGTGTTCCCGCGAAGGCCTGTTAAAGAGCTCCTGGCTAAACCACGGTCTCGATCCCTCGCGAAGTATCTTGCTTACTCCACTCCTCTCGCGGAGTATCCTGGTGTGATTTCGCCAAGACCAGCCCTTGGGGGGCTCGGGAGCAACACTAGATGGAGCGTTGCAACAGACACCGAGATAAGGAAGTAGAGGTGAGGAAGGAGCTTACGAAATGGCATTAGAGCTAGGAGCCGGGATGAGGGACCTGCTCGCCTGATCAGTGATTCAATGTTTGCCTGCAGAGTTTCGCACACGCTGCCGAGATTGATCGAATACTCTTTCCCCACCAACCAGCGGCACCCGTTCGCCCCTCCTTCCCCATGGGCGGCGAACCTGTATCCATGAGCGCTACGTCTATTTCGAGACCCACGGGAATGTCTGTGATTCGAAAAATTATCTGGCCTCACTCCCCGACGGCTGTAAAATAGCTCGTCGCTGCGAATTCTCTCGTGGGTAGAGAGGGGATGGGGTTCAATCTGACCGGACGTATTTAACGTGTGATGAAACCAACTCACGTTCAACGAACAGAATCGAGCACAAATGAACGGTCGGGCTGGCTTATCACCAGCTGATTCCAACACGATCAGTACGGTCTCCCGTTTCGAAAACAGCCCGTAGTCAAAATAGCCATGGATCCATATCGTCGAATTGAGTATTCATTCGGCTGCGATGCATAAACGACTCTACTGAAACGTCGTCCTGTCCGAGAGGTCTAATAGGTGGCAGTGGTTCCGAATGAATCGCTCCCGTTCGGAAAACGCTGCGTTGTAATACGCTCGGGAACTTTTACCGAGAATCTGCATATCGTTCCTGAGAGATCAGAGCTCCGACCTGCCAAAGCCAGGTCGCTGAGGTCGGAAGCACACCAGAGAGGGAGATCCACGCTGGGGCTTCATTTGTTGTTCAATTTGTCATAAGAGCTGTGGGACACCTGCGAAGCTCCGCGTCGGGCTCAATTTTCCGTTTAGCTCACGTGCGGCTTTAGCCTCAAGGGCTGGAGGTTGCAGATCTGGATGATATTCGGTGAATGTGCGAGTGGCTTGATACCACCATGGGGCACTCGTCACGCTTCGCTCGACGTTCGGTATCAGCTTGCACTGCGTTCGATTTCACTAGTATGTATTAGGTTTCTGCGAGATAACGCTCACCGTCGAATCTCCAACCGATGTCGTTGACCCAAGGATTAGCTCGGATGTCGCATTCGAAGAAAACATCGTTCCCTTCCTGGATGTGCTGGTGTCGAAGTTTACTTCCAAGACGCAGACTTAGGATCGGATTATCTGGAAAGCCGAGCGGCGCGGGATCAGCAGATGGAAGAACAAACTGCACTTCAATTCCAAGGTCAGCGGTTGCAGATAATGGAATCCAGGGAAATGAGGAACTTTTTTCAGTTCAGAGTGTCTTGTTTACGTCAATTCAAATCCTTTCGAACTTTTGTTCTTGGAGGAAAGAACTCTTGGAAGAACTGCCTACTCTCTGATCTTCGAGGATCGGGATACTTTTCCCCCCGCTCCTCGCGTAGCGGCGGGCAATCCGAATCGAATATCAATGGAAATAAAATTCGGAAGCAAAAATACGTTCACGTCTCACTTACAATGCACTTCGAGTTTCCAGCCGTCTTCGATGCGGCTATTGGCAATGAGAGGGTTCTCGGCACGACACGACAGGTGTTTGCTGGAATCCTCCGCCGACGGAACGAATGTCAATGTACTCGTTCCGTTGTGAGATGTTGAATTCATTCGCGTTCCTCCCTTCCACCATTCGATTACGGCTGGCGGTCGCGACCCCGAAGCCGTGCATTCCAACGTGACGCTTTTTCCGGCAGACAACGACTGCTGCTCGCCTTCGATCCACACCGATAACGGACGGACTGCGGCGGGAACGGGAGGAAAAAGGAAGAGTTAGAGACAGTCAAGAGCGGGAAACGTCCAAGCCGAACCAGGGGAACCACGGACGAAGAAAGTTTTTTCTGTTCTTGCGAAACTCCCCCCGACGGGAGCTTTCCCAAAGACGCTCCGAATCGTATTCCTCGCACCGGTTTCTCCTTGGCGCTCCAAGCTATACCTAGCGATACGTCGCGACACCGAATTTTTCTTCCGTTTCATTTACGGTCCCTCCCGGCCGCAGTATTCCATACGTATGCCGGTGGGGCTTTGCTCCGACTGCGAGTGAGGGAAAACCGCTGCTAAGGAGAAAGAGAAATGTGTTGCGGGAGAAGAAGACGACGAAATCAGCCTAGATCAAAGAGGGAGCGTAAAGGGGGTGAGTTAGCTTTAAGTAGATTATATAATCGATATCGATTTCTCCTTCCCGACCGCTGGCTGATCGTCGCTTGGCCGGTCAGCCTGGCTCGGGGAAGAGGGGTGACCGCCGCATCTTCATCCACCCTACGTGTGGGAGAAATGAACATCATACGACCGCTGGCACCGTCACCAGCATCGCTCGCAGCGGGGTTGGGGACTATTGAGTTGAGAGCTAGCTGTTCTCTCGCTCTTCTCCCCCATTCCGTCCCTCACTCAGAATGTTTTGTTCCCATCCTCGAAACGCCTCCCCTCTCTGGGGAGGTTCTCTCGTTTTTAAAGCATCGTTATTCCGGGCGGTTCATGATGATTTTCGGATATTTTGCCCACTCCCGCGTATCCGTCTTTGTTCTTCCCTTGCTCTTCCCATCCCCCTCATTTGTTCTCTGCTCTCCCACTGTGTCACTTGTCTGCCGCTCATTCCTTTCCCGACGGCGATTCTCTCCATGAGCATGTTTCCCCCCCGAGCTATTCAAGTTTCTTTAGGCTTGTGCTTCCTCAAGGCGTAGGTCGTTGTGCGTCTCCGTTATCTTCCACTGTTCCGTCGCGGTCTCCCCTTTCCTTCATTCACTCGGAGCCGGTGAGTCCGAGAAAGGGAGAATCCTCTGCGAAACCGTCCAGGTGCGACATTTTCAGGTGCGACATGGTCCAGGAGGATCCAAAGACAATAAATTTTGCGTTATCTCTGCAAAGAGGATCGGGTACTGTCTGTTGATCCTCAATAACTTTCGCGGAGTGACGAGCAGACAACTGCTCAACGAAAGAAAGTGCGTTCTCTTACGCCGGAGATGTTCGTGACGACAATTTTTCCATCGGGGAACAACGCTGTCCGAGCGAGAGGTGACGCTCTCTGGGGCTCCCGGACGGAATTTCCATGAGAATCTCCCGGAGGGTAGCCGCAAGGGTTTTAGTGAGAGAAACTCACAATTCCCGAAGCAGACAGAGTAAGAAAACTACCCGGCTCCGATCAATTCTCAACATCTGCGCGGTCAGAGATACATGGTACCATCACATGCTCTTGGGAGGTCGAATACTGTGCGAAGCAACTCGGAGAGAATTAGCTCGCACGGTAGCGACACCGTCGACTCCTTCCTCGCGGCGCGGCGTGCCGACCCCAGCCGCCAGCAGAGGGTTGACTTTCGCAGAGACTCGAACATGGCTGGTCGCGGTTCTCTGTGATCGACGCGGAAAACTAGGATAGGATTCTTTTGAGTCTCCGCAATTCTTCGCGCTGAATGTTGCTTTGAGCAACGGTACCACGATCACACCCAAGACCTGCGTCTCAGCCCGGGACTGGAACCCCTACGACAGTTCGAAGGCGGTTTTGAGGGAATTCTTCGAGGGAAACAGTGGAGCGATCGTTTCGTAATTTGGGCAGGCTCGCCGGGTTAATGGCGGCTTCATTAGATTCGCTTAACTGCTGAGTGATAGAGGAGCTCTCGGTAGAGATGGGGGCCTTGCGGGGACGGAAAGTAAATGAAAGACGAGAAAGCGGACGAGTCAGCGAATGAGTTGCAGTGATTGATGGAAACGGCTCATTCACACTCGGAAAATCAACTGTCTGCAGGATCGGGTTGCTCTGTCTCTCTGACTTCCCGCGAGCCAAGCGCGTAGTACTATCTCCGGTCTGGGTTTGTTCCTGACAAGCCCCTCCGGGATTTTCCGTCACGCAAGCCGTTCAGGGGCCACGGCGATGTTTTCATATCGAGATGAGTTTGCGGTATGTGTAGATGAGTTCCTGCTCGTGCTCTTTTCTGAGGCTTCACGTCGAGCTCGCGAACATGATCCGTGGCTCCCTCTGTCAGAATACGAAAAATCATCCCTCATCGATGGTTTGGGATCTATGAACAGATGAGGGATCCACGACCGAGAATACGTTGCGATAGATACGGTGGACGGTTTGACAGGAGGAGCAAGAAGAGGCAGAGCTGGGAAACACGAATGGAAGGGGTAGTGGGGGGGGGGCGGGAGCAGGAGCTTCGGATCGGGAGATACATATCCGGAATCGGAGAGGAATGAAACCCGAAGTGTATTTGAGAAATGAGACGATCCCGACGTCGAGGATGGCGGCAGAAGGGGTAAGGCGTTCCGTGGGGGAAACAGGGGGAGGGGGCGAGACCAGAGGGGGAAAGGCGAAGAGGACAACAAAAGGGAAGAGCCCAGATGATAAATCGAGCCGAACGCGGACTGGATCGAGCGTATGCAGAAGACAAATTGCAGATCGCCGATGCCTGCCCGTAAAAAGACACCATATTGCCATGCGACCCTGCAGAACAAGTATTAGATTCATCCTCTACCACGGGCTCCGATGTATTCCTCGCTCATAGAGCAAAGTAGGTATCTCCTTCGATCACTCGATCCTTCCCTCGGTAATCCCAGCCGCGAGCATTTCCCTGCATCTTGTTACGCTCTCCCATTCTGATACCTGGTGTCTATTGTACGTCCGTCTGCCGGTCCGGAGGTCGGCAAGTTGGCTTCTTCATTACGTGAAGCTTGAGATCCTCGAAAACTGATGAGAAGCAGAAGGACTTCTGCCGCCGTCCCGCATCTGACGCCCCGGCCCGACTTGATTGATCCTCCATGAGGAGCTATGTCTAACTACCGAACAGAGACGGTCTCTGAGATCTGTGATAGCTCGGCGAGTTCGCTCGAGGATCCATTTTCCGCATTGAGAGTGGTTCAGTCCATCGGATACTCTTCCTGTGACTGAATGTCTCCGTCCGGTCTCGCTCCCCACGGGTTCTCGGGTTTTTCTCTCGTTCAGAAATCGATCGTTCAACGGACGACGGAAGGAAAATACTCACAATTCAAGTCAATGATTACGCTTGACGAGACCGGATATGAAATGTTGTTGTTCGAAGCAGTACAGGTGAGCGTCGCCATCAGATCGTTGCGGGTGAGGGCAGGTATCTCGAGAACGTTTTTCGAGATTCCGTTCGATACGTTGTATTGATTGTCCAGTAGGAACGATTCCCGCCACCATGTTACGACGGGCGGCGGATTGCCTTTTGGGGAGAAATCGGATTTAAATGCACGAGCGAAAAAGAGCGACTCTTGTTCGATCCGATCTCGCTACGATCGGAACGTCCTGCGGATTCCTGAGAGATATCGACTGTGATTTCGACGCGGACCACGAGCGGACAGCATAGCGAGATCAGAATTGTAGATGCGATGTAATCACCGATCTTAATTCTGGAACGAATAATGAATGACGAGCTCCTCGCGTGTGCTGTCTGCCCCAATGTTTCCGCCTTCTATTTCTCTCAGCGGAGATCGGGGAATCCTCGCGGGATGGAACATGAGTGCTTTTTTCCTAGGCTTCGTTTGCTCATTGACGTATTTCTTTAGAAATTCAATTAAAGGCCTCTTGCACTCTTTCCTCGTAGCTTGTGCGCTTTCTGGATTCTGGCTGACTGTGTTCGTCACAGCTGCTCTCGATGTTTGTCGTCTGAGAACAGCGCAGTGTAATCAAATTCATTTAAATGCAGAACAGCTCACAGCCGAAAACAGTGGAGACGGGACAACACAGCGAGAAGCACGGCGGAAAGGAAGAGGATCGAACTCAGCCAAGAGGAAAGCTCGAGCAAAAACAACAGAGGACGTCGAGAGCACCGAGCGAGCGCAAGGAGACGGACGACTCCGACTAAACGGATTTTACGGAGATCCACGAGCGAACTATTGCACGAAGACGTTCCGCTACTTTTCGTGTGGGCAATACGCGTCAGGTATGTAAACGAGAAGCGTCTGAGAGTTGACGTGGAGAGATGACTCCTGTGGGGAAACAAATGAGAGGCGAGGCAAAGTTGTAGGCAGAAGATGAGAAAAATGAGATGCGATGCAAAATGCGGATGACTGACATAGAAAACTTCAGATGATGAGCCCGTCTCATCTGTCGTGCCTTCCCATACATTCATTGCTCACGAATTATTCATCCCACCCACTTCGCGAATGACTCTTGTCGTTCGCTCGACGACTCTCAAATTATCATTCTGCGAACAAATGAACGAACTACTCGAGACCGAACCTCAGGCCGGGAACATGCTCTCAGATGGGAATTGTTGAACAGGCGGCTCGTGTTACCTGGCTGTTTCGGCGACAATCTCAGAACAACTAGACGACCGCAGCTGACTCTGGTTGAGCCATACAATAGAGCTAGACACAATATGTCTCAACTTACCTCCTTCAACTTGACAATTCAGAATCAGTTTTTCCCCTTCGTTGTAGGGCCCGATGACGCTCTTCGACGGCAGAATGTTTCGGTTTTGGTCCGTGATTATAGGTTCGTTCGGCGGTACTGAAATCAGAGAAACGAAGTCGGAGCTTCCCTCGAATGCGTCACAAAATTCGAATGGGGCGGCGAGCGGCGGGAGGAGCCGGGCGCCGCCATCTTTATCGACCACTGAGGTGAGGTAATTGAAACGACCGTCGAGATTCCAGGACGGGGCCGGGACTGCTCGTACAAGGGTTCTTGAGCGTCCTAGGGCGGAGGAGCGCTTTTTTCGTTGTTTCGTTCCTCTGGGAACTCGTGTCACCTTCCGAGAGCTGGCTAGCCAGGCGTCGTCGTACAAACTACAACTTTGTCAAAAGTCCTCTCAGCTCCCGTTTCACAGCGTTCCGTGGAGCGAGAGAGGTCCTGCCGAGGCGAGCAGCAGCTCGAGCAGCGCAAAGAAAAAAGAGTCGCATATCGTTAAACGAGCACGCTTAGATGGCTTAGAGTCAGTCAGACTCGAGCTGCGGCTCAAAGCGAGCTTCCGAAGTGAAACTCGAAGGGGAGCAACGACTCGACGGCCGTCAGCTATTTGCACCCGAGGGAAGAGTTCTTTACCTGCTCACCTGCAAGCCTTGACGGCTCACCGCTTGACTGGCTTGCGAGTTGTCGGAATGACTTGTGCGTACAACGACGAGCTAACGTCACTTTCGGATTAGCGCTTGCCGGTCCGCTTTCTACCTTCTGCGCTTGCTGCCGTAGAAAAAATCAGGGACCGAGCCACTGCAACTCGCAAGGTCATCGTCGTTCACGCGACGAGACTAACGATGGCAAGTCGTTATTATTTCATAAACACGGCGAGTTTGGATCGCCTGAGGAGGCTCGCGTTCCCCCTCCAATAATCGCGGACCCGGATACGCAGGATCTCGGGTCGAGATCGAGCTCCATGGAGTTCTCTGCTTTATGGAGCCACGTCGTCGCAGGGAATATTTTCGATGGTCGTTCAAAATGCTGACGAGGGTCAGAAAAGTGAAGACGAGGGTCAGGATACTCACGAATGACCTTCAGGTGAACCTGGTAGTTCCGAGTTCGCTCCTTCTTGAAGTCGACACGGCAGCGGTAGAAACCTTCGTCGCCCTCCTGGACGGGAGCGAGTTGCAGAACCGAAGGGCTCGTGTCTGTTTTGAGGTGAGCTCGCTGAGCGAGCCAGTCGATGGGCGCATGATGAGCTTTGTGGAGTGTAGTTTTCCGAGCGTCTGCTGAATAAATCGGAGTCGTCGAATCATCTCTATACCAGAGCACTAACGACACTTCGTCCTCCGTCGAATTCGGCTGGATGTTGCACGGAAGCGAGGCGCGTTCGCCTAACACGCCGATCACCGTTATCGTGGGCTCTGCAAAGACGATAAACGAACTTTAGCCAATCATTCTGTCGGCCAGCCAAGCGACTCAGAAAATCTCCCTCCCCCTTTTTTCTCCGGGATACGGCTCCGAACAAGAAAGGGCTTTCCCGCGGCTGAGAACCATTCAGAGGATCAGGACCCTCCGGAAACGATTGAGAATCGCGTACTCGACAAGGTTCTCGATCATTGATGGGAACGAGAAACTTCTGAAAAATGCCAAAGCAAGGTGGATTTGGAAACTAAAGTACCTATATATTTCTCTCCGAATCAGGATTCATCGCTCGAGGGGACCGACTTCCCGATTGGCCCAGGCTTCAATGATAATGAATTGGGCCGCACCAATCCTATGATTTTTAGCTGTCTCCTCATATCGTCATCGGGTAGCCATACATCTTTGACCGATTCTTATGCGAAGACCGTCGCCGTCATCTGCAAAACCAATGTAGGCAGCTGCGCCAACATCCTCACTTCTGCTGGGACATCGTCTGACTCCATATGGAGCTCTTCTGCTCATTTCATGCACCTCCGATGGTTGATCGCATTCTGTTATCAGGCCCGGATCGCTCGAAACTCTGCGCCAGAGTGTTCTACTTTTTGGAGGTCGTCGGCAGCTCAATAAGGAGGTGGTCTTGCTTCTTTCCGGTTCGTCGGTCCCGTGTCAGAATTGCCGGGTGAGTGGGCTGCTAGGTGTTGAAAAGCGTTTACGCTCTAAATGTGGATGGATTTTTTTCTTCATCTCGCCAACTACCGCGACTACTGCTACCACTCATTTACTCCGAGGCGACCGAGGCAGCTGTAGCCAACCAGCAAGAGAGCCGGCCGCACAAATTGAGTAAAAACCGGAGCAGGTGTTGCCATCGTCTTCCAGCATCAGGGAAAAATAAATACGGATGGGGAAAGCGCTATATCAGCAAGAAAATGAGTAGGTGGAAGTGAATCTCGATCATACTCGCGCTCTTCCAAGCTGCGAACGTTCCCCGCTATTACGGGAGGGGGAAAATGCGGGAAGGATGGGAGAGCGCACAAAATACGTCATTCCTGTACCTCCCGGATCGGAGCTTTCGTTTGTGTTCTGCTTTATCGGGAGACATGAGAAGCGGTTTCTTGCTCTGGGGGCACGAGAATCCAACTTCCGATAATGATCAATGCTCTCTCTGAAGGCTCGTTCTCCATCCAGCTAAATATTGGCAGGCATTCCTCTTGCATGACGTATCTGTCCGTGACAAACATAATCCAACAATCGGATTGAAGTTGGAAAAGCAATCGAAGAAACGTCCTCCCACCAGATCGGGAAGTTCCCGCTCCGTCTCAAGTCTTATTCATATTCTAATGCTCCCGGGAGAAAATCTCGAAGAGTCGCTCGCGCGGGAAAGTTCCGGCGAGAGTCTCGAACCGGGAGCCGATCTGTCGGAGGGAAGTCTGTTCATAGTTCGCGCTTACGGTCGTTCAGCGAATGAACGTCGGAACGTCTTAGCTGGCAAGTAGCAGATTTCCAAATCTTTTTCCTTGGGTTTTTTGTGCCCATAAAAATAGTTTCACACTTGGCTGTGCTCCTTGTAGAGACGAACGGCGGGATGAACGACCAAGCGGCGTTCGGACGAGCGAGCGAGCGCTCCACCGATGTCGAAGCGGATTCCGCGGATAGAGAAAATGCAAGAACCAGTCGGCCAGTTTTTGTACGCGACGCCAACGCTCGGATCTACGGACTCTCGGTACGATGCAACGACAAAACGGAGTCTTGGGTAAACGTTCCTTCGGCGTAGAGGTAGGAGCTTTTGCACGGAATTTCTCCTCCGAGCGGCTCGTCATTGATTGGCTCCCGCCGGATCTTCTAGGCCTGCCTGACGCGGTCTATTCCGTCGTCGTAGACTTTCATGAGCATCAAATTTTCCCCGCAGAGAGCTCGATCTCGCTCCGCACATCATCCAATCGTCTTTGCGCCTCCACCCTCGTTCGTGGGGTTTTGATTCTCGAGCTCCGATTCCACACTCCAGCGAGTGTTCTTGTCCTCTTGTAATAATTGGACTCATCAGATCCCACACTCGCCCTCACTGCCTCCACTTCGCCGTCTCCGCCCCGAGTTCTCGCCTCTGTCTCCCCCTGTCTCACGAGGCTCCTTCCAGTCCTTCATGGACTCGCAGTCCGCCCTCCCTCCAGTCGAGGGGACTCGCACGGACTCACCGGTTCTCCTATACTCTTACGTCCGCATAATACCGGGCGTAGACTTTCTAATGGGGGAGTTTCCTTTGATATGCAAGCATTCCCCAAGAGACGAGCATCTCCCGAGGGGTCGAGAGTTGAGACGGGCAGTCCGTGGAAGGCTCTTGCAGGGGGCTGCAGATCGAGCTCCACGTAACCGTAGAATGGGAACAGTGTCAGCTGAATATCACTCGTCAGATCAGTCAAGGGGATCCAAGCATCGCTCTCTATTCCTCTGTCGCGGAGGAGGCTCAGCGAGAAAATGGGGGAGGGGATCGCTGATACATTGACGTTCTCACGGCCAAGCCGAAGAAGGTTGAGTGTACAGTTTCCAAGCGCCAATAGATGAAAATTTGAAAATTATTATCGCCAAGTTGTTGTCGTGAGCAGCCGTGCCGAGTAAGGCGACGCTTCGGTGAAGATAGGGCTACGTCTGCATCATCGTGATCGCCCCGAAGACTGCTGTGTTCTGACGGCGGGCAGAGTTGAGACTTTCTTCCAAGCTCCATCCTCCTCCGAATCGTTCTCCAGATCCGAAATCTCAAACGATTTCACTGATTCATGTTTGATGGCGATTTCGATACCTGAGTTCGCTGAACTCGGACAGCGGGCGAGAGGGAAATGCGCCGAAGATTCCGAGAACCGGCAGCAAGAGTGCGCAGGGAAAAACGTGCGCGGGGCGATTTTGTAAGCAGCACAATCAAGAATGCATGAGTTGCGTTTCGAGATCCGTTCTCCTCAGAGCAGTCCTTCCTCTCATCCTTCCTCGATATCAGTCTCGCCATCCTGGTACTCTTCTTCCCTCTCGCCTTGCTACTCACGCTGCCGCTCACGCTCCACCTATTAAAATCCTTCTCTCTCTCTTCCATTTGAAACATCATGTTCTCCTCCCTCCCTCCCTGGGTCCTCCTTCTTCGGTGTCTCCACTTGGTTTCTCTTGCTTTCTCCTGTATCACTCCCTCTTGACATGTTGTTTGGCCACTAGCCTATAGCGTGCGTTTGTGTCATCGACGACCGGCTCTCATACATGTACGCTCGACGTGGGTAGCCGATATAGAGAATACGGGGGGAATACGTGTGCACGTTCGGATGGATGTAATATTTGCAGCGGATTTTGCCCGCATTTCGTCGCACTCGGCGAACCCATTTCTCATGACGCGCTCTGTAACGATCAAGATAAATGGAGAATTGCGCGATGGGAGCGGTACTGCGGACTAAACTCTGCCTCAATCCCGCTCTCCCCGGGAAGAAATTTGGTTTTTGGGGGGGGGGAAGGAAGGGGGAATTCAACGAGAGTGCGAATCGTAGCACGCGGGATCTGAACCCACAGGAGACGCTGAACAACTTTCCAAAGTCCAATGCGTAGAGGCATACTTCGAGCGTATCCATGTAAGTCGGCGGACGGTCGTCACGGCAAGCTTGTTCGGTTTGCACGTGAGCTTGTTTTACACGGATAAGTGGGCATGAACACGTTTTGAGTAAATCCCAGTCCGCTCCTGGTTTTCACCGGCTTAGCTCACACAACGGATCCCTCGCTTCTCTCATATTGATGATGCTGAGATTTGTAATTGATCCTGGATTTACGAGATTTCGGAAACTCCGCAGTCAACTTGCGAGAAAGCCTCTTCTTAGTATCGATCCATGGTCATGGTGATGGAATTCCTCCAGTACTATTCCTGGGGATCTCTTGACAATTGACTGACAAACATAGGGAGGGGAAGTAATAACGGAAGAGGGGACGACGTTGGCGGAATTGGATATAGAAAGAGGGAGGTTGGGAGTGAGGGGGAGAGAGAAACGACTCGGGCAAGTTGAGAGGAGGAACGATTCCAGCGGAATTGCTGTTTGTGTTCGTCCCGAGAAACCTCGGGGAAAACACAAGAGCGGTAAAAATGTAGAGAACAAGGAAAAGCGACAGCGGAAAGGGTAAAAGACTTAGAGAAGTAATGAAGGAGGCAGGTCCTCATGTCTTCTCTGCTTCGTTCAGCGTTGTAACTAACCGCATCAAGGGAGAGAGCGACGAAAACAAGGACGACAATGCGGCGCCTGACAGCCTTCGAAACCCCTTATGAACCTCTTAAGACGTGTTACGCCGACAAGCAGCTCCGCTCCGTCAAATCTTATGAAGACAAGCAGAGCATCAAACTCCCCGACTCCAGTATATGTCTTTCAATGATGGCTTCTGTCACACATCCCCCCTCTCTACCCACGCTGGCGTTGCTCCCACCGATGTGGTCTCTCGGATGTGTACCGTCGCCGGGGGTCTCCGGATGTTTTCGCTGGGGCGCCGGCGTTTGTTTTCCTGGCAGAATTGTAGCCAGACCCTCGTTCTCGAAATTTCCCCCCCCCTCTCCTTCGTGAAGGTTGTTCTCCCGAACCCGGATATTGTCCTTGTGAGCCTGCGATGTTCTCCGGCGTTCGGATATCGTCCTTGCGCTTGTTTCCTCCTCGATCGAGTTTGCTCAGCAGCGCGATCAGCGGACTTGAAACGCTCTTTTGCTTGCTCCCCGGACGGATAACGATAATTCAGCTCGCGCTGAATAAAAACCGGTGGAAAGAATGACGCTCGCCGAGCAAAAACTCCGATGACGACCAGCAGCCGAACGTCGTTGAGAGAAGTTCTCCGTCGTAGGTTTCCTCCGTCTCTTATATTTTTCTCTCGTTATCGCTCCGTTGCTTTCGGAAGGATCCGTCCGCTGTTCAACAAAATAAAACTCTGAATCCATCACAATCAGTAGTCTCGGCGGATAGCTCCCTTTTTCGCTCCGAGGGTCACAAGAAGGATGAGTAGG